GACAATGGCACCCACCGGTGGGTGCCACTATGACTGACACATGGGACATTAGCACCTAATTTTTGGAGCCACAATACTTTCTTATTTCTTTCCAATTGCTGAACTCAGTAGGCTAGTGAAAGAACTTTTTCCTGGGACAGTGCCTCCCACCGTGACGCGCCCATGGGTGGGTGCCAGTCGCGCGCGAAAGGAGGGGAGTGTGGTCCCATGGGCGCGTCACGTCGTAGTCCGCATTGTCGTCAAAGGGTTAATTGGAAAGTCAACGCACATGTTCGCTAGCTCCCCAACTTACAAAATAGCGCATCAAAAGGAAGGAGAAATCGTTCGAAAACGGAATACCGAACGATTTGTTTTCCCACTCCATCAAATTTTGAGAGTTTATTGAAAATTCAGGTAAGCTGGGATCGAATCATTATGAATGGTAGAAGGGTGTCTGGAAAGTCTTGAGAAAATTTCATCTTTCAGCATGTTGCTTGCGAACGCGCTTAAGAAGGACAAAAGATTCGATAACAGAGATATGGGGCATAGTTGTTAGATCAGTACTTCAGCTGATCGCTATTTGACCTGGTCTCTCGAAGTAATCGCCGACCGCACGATGTGCCATTGGTACGATTACCGGAGGCTTCTGCTTCACCATTACGAAACTGATCGCTTCGGTACTCAGGCTTGGAATGAGATATGGTGACTGAATGACAGCGGTGACACTCCCTTTTCACCTGAATGGCACGAACGCTTCCACTGAAAAGAGATTTGGCAAGACGAAAATTTTTGAAACGACCGTCCACTGTCCTCAAATACCAAAACTGTTCTGGTCTCCCTTCAAAGCGATCCTCCTCAAAGTCACCGGAAATGAAATCGACTCTGTCTACTCCCTAATCCACAATTCAAGACGTTCTACGTGAAAGTCGCTTTCAAAGCAGGACTCCTTGCAAATATCGTCCCATTCCTTGGTTGAGCAGCAGCTCGAGTGCGAGTCAATGTTTGTCAGAAGGGCCTTGACTGTAAGTGAACGACGATAACAACCAGCTTCATCATGGCTTAAGATAAAAAGTAGAAAGAGTAAAAATTAAGATAAAAGAAAGTAACAGGATATTGCAATGCCTTCCATTTCACGTAAGGCCACAGCTCGCTACAAAGCGAGGGGCTCACGTCAAAAAGGACATGAGCCCATTCTCCCTCTGCTCAAGCGAGTGGTTTACTGGGAGAAACCTAGCAGAGTGTACTGCGATAAAGGCAAGAGCATTCTATTGGAAACATAGAAAGATGACTTTTCGATCCTCCATTCCGCACTTATTACAAGATAATTTTCGGTTGTGATGGATAATACTCAACCATCCCAAGCGAGGACGTCGAGCTGGAAAGCTTGGTATAACCTAACTACCCCGTTCCCAACATATTCATATTCACTTGACTCAACTCATATGACAGCCATATTTTCAAAAGCCTATAGTCCTGCTCTATTGGGACAAAATTCATTAAATGCCGAGAGTCAAGTAGATGGTAGATGAATGAACTGCGTCACGCCTCTCTTCATACTGAAGGAATGACACCAATACCCTGTCCAGCTGATGGAGAGACGTTGTAGCTAAGAATCCTGATCGCTAATCTAAGTTTATTGCCGTAGTTATTTTGTGTAAACTGAATTTTCTCAAAACTTTCAGGGATCCTTAATCTATTATAGACAATGATTGATAACTTATACTCGTACTATGCGTAACTCGCTAAGTGTGTCTGTTGGTTTTTCGGTGTGTGTATGTGTATGCGTATGTGTATGTGTATGTGTATGTCTATGTGAATGTGTATGTGTATGTGAATGTGTATGTGTATATGTATGTGTATGTGTGTGTGTCTGTGTGTGTCTGTGTCTGTGTGTGTCTGT